CTTTCTCAAATCCAGTTTTTATTATTGCATCCATATTAGCAGTAAAGCCGTAATTTAATAATATATTTAATTTGTATTTACACTACATACAACGTTTACCTTTTAATAACATACCGACATAACCTCAATCTTACTTTTTTTCTTATTCTTTTTTGGGACTATACGTCCTTGTACAGTTTATCCGTAACCTCGATTTAACATGAAAGTGTAGTAAATTTTGTTGATTTACGACACCAGGTGTTGCTCTTCCGAACTTGCACGCCCGATAAAAATTTACTCCAAGAGTACAGATTGGAATATATGGGAGAGGAATACAGTATGGAAACACTCCTGACTACGACGAAGTAGACGAAATTTGGTTTAGTCCCCACTTGAATGTGAAACGCACTGTACTATGAACTATATATTTCCACTTACAATAGAACCTTTTTGCTTTTACGTGAATGTTGACTCCGTCTTCACGCATCTCACTGGTCAGGAGTGTTCGCACTATTTTTACTAACAACGAGGTCCGTACTTCGTTAATTAAAATAAAAAACGGGCAATCTCCAGGACCTGGCAATATAGCTCTAGAGTTACTTAAAACAGGAAGTCCACTCCCATTAGAACGAATGACTTTTCTAATGAATCAATGCTGCCAACAAATTAAAGTACCATCTGAATGGTGGAGTACACACTCACCAAGTGTCAATCTTTAAAAAGGGTAATGAAAACATCCTAACTGCTACAGATGATTGAGAGTCCTACATACTACAAACAAGTGGAAAAAATTTAAATATTTAGGTGCACTCATTGATAAGAACGGCTTAGTTAACAAAAATTAAAAATCGAATTAATCAGGGACGTAAAATCTTCAGACCTGAAGAGAAGATTGTTGGCAGTTGAAATGGATTATTTGAGAAAAAGTGCTAGAACATCAAGGCTGAAAAGGAAGACCAGCAAATCTATAAGAAAATAACATGAATGCTACAGAAACGGTCATTGACAGAATAGAAGGAAGAGGTTTAAAATGGTTTGGACACTTATTGAGAATGCCTGACAACGCTGGTCCCAAAAACTTCACAGATGGAAGCTCCCTGGAAGAAAAAAAATGAGGTAGACCTCGACGCTCATGGAATGAAGGAATTAGAAGAGCGATGGAATTGAGAGGTTTTAAAGCAGCATTTAAAGAGAGCATGCCTTGGACGGGAAGGATTGGCGGAGAACGGGATACGGCGATAAAAATGTTATATTTACAAGTTTACAAACACTTTTGTTCATGCATTTACATTGAGATATACAAGAAATCTCAGATTTTTTATATTTACATAAGTTGTTAGAGCAATCTTTACATTTACATGGTGGTATTAAGTCTGTGCTTGAAGACATTAAAATTGAAACTTTTTAGGGCTTCACAGTCTCATTATATATGTGATCATATAGAAGTGAATCGAGTTTTTTTTGCAGTATCATCAGGCACATCAAGTGAGTGTACACAAAAAATGCTGATTCTATATGTAATTGGATTGAGCTAAATATTGGTTTCATATACTCAACAAGAGAAATATCTCTATGGTCATATAAATAAAAACGTAGTTCATCAAAACTTTTCACATTTTCTTAATTAATCAGAACCTTTACCAAAGATTCTCTTCGCTATTAAAAATAAACCTTTTATTGTGAAAAAAAAAAGACAGTTTGCAAATCAATGGCATCGAAATTTTATTAAGTTTGGATGCATAAGTTAAATAGTTCCACTGTACTCCTTTCCCGCTTCCCCTAACTATATCTTTCATGATGGTTTAAATCTGACGGCCACAGTTTCAGTTTATGCAGACACTCTCTTCAGGAGTGTTTTGAAGTATAATAACATGACCAAATCGCCCATTTGAAATGTCCTATATACATCTATATTCTTTGGTAATAATTCCCTTAATCCTTTTTATAGTGTTCTGTGGCCATGAAATGAAGAAGAATGATATGACATGGCAGATTTTATATATAGATATGTACCTAGGTTAACTACAAAATGTAATGGGGCCACAAGCACATGGATGATAAGAATATGTATTTCAGTAGAATCAGAGTACTAAAAGAGGACGTGTTTAATTCACAAAACTACATGTTTGATAATGTTTGAACACCTAAGGTACATCAGAAATATCTATCTGGCGATACCAAATAAAGTTTAGTTAAAAATATACAAATATTTGAGAAAGAACAGATGATAGTGAGCCCAGACATGCTATAAGTTATTATCTTATCTCTCATGAATTCTAATTACACAATTATGAAAACATTTATATTTATATTAGGAATAAAATGTAAATACTAACATCATTTGTATAAAAAAAATATTATAAAAATTCAAATATGAACTTTGCTGACTTTCTTTTAATTAAAGTCATGTTCTTTAAATTTACTGTTGTAGGAACACAATATGTCAGTGTTAAAACACTTGAACTATATTGCCAGAGAAATGAATTAATAATAAATCAAATGAATACAAAATATGAACCAATTCAATAAATAATTGACATCAAATCTGATAGAGATAAAAGAATAACATAAGATTTGTGTCATTGGTATGTAATCACCACTTTTGACTACAATAGATGAAATAAAAATCAGTCACTGCATAAAGTTAAGGAGTATCTGACTTTAAAGAAGCCTAAACATATTACTGTTGTTAAAACAAATAAAGCATCAACAGAAAAATTGTAGCAATCTTTATATATACATTCGTTCGTTTTTTCTCGTTTATCATCGTTTTTTTAGGCAATCTTTCGTCCCCCATTCGGCTCACATGCCCATACCATATGAGCTGTTTTCTCTCAATATCCTCAACTATAGTGCCCTCTATACCCATTTGTTGTTTTATCACTTCATTCCGTATTCTGTCGGCTCTTGATATTCTCATCGATCTTCTGATGGCATCCATTTCCGTGGCTTCGACCTTTTTCTTATATTTCTCGGTTATTCTCCATGTCTCAGCTCCATAAAGTAGGCTAGTTTTAACCATTGTCTCATAGATGTTCCATTTTCTTTTCTTTGATATTTCTTTACTCCATAGAACTCCGTTCAAACATGCTATAGCTCTTCGTGCTTGTACAATTCGATGTTCTATTTCTCGTTCGTCTTTTCCACTACGGTCGAAGATGACGCCCAGGTATTTATATTCGTCACATGGATTTATTTTTGATTGTCATCGATATCGAGTTGTTCTGCTTCAGCTCCAATTGAGAGGTATTTTGTCTTTTCTAAATTGATATTTAATCCCCATTTCTGGTATTCTTCAATTAGTTTTCTAAGCATGTATTCCATGTCGTCTTTGTCATTTGAGATCACCACCTGATCATCTGCAAACTGTAAAGTATATATGTAATCCTGATCGTTCAATTGTATACCCATTCCTTTGACTTTCCTTTTCCATTGTTTCAGAGCTGCAGAGATATAAATCTTAAACAGAGTCGGAGAGATACAACATCCTTGTCTGAGACCCTTAGTAACTGCAAATTTTTCAGCTAAGAGGTTTCCGAATTTCATTTGGGAGTTTGAACCATAATATAGATCTTTGAGAGCACTAACCAATGTTTGATGTATGTTTGATGTGCCCAGGACTTCCCATAGTTTATTTAGCGGGACTGTGTCATATGCCTTCTCAAGATCTACAAAAGTCATATGTAACTCTCTATTTGTCACAATTTTCTTTTCTATAATTTGTTTAAGACAGAAGATGTTATCTGTACATGAACGACCTGCTCTAAATCCTCCTTGTTCTTCGTCTTCAGACGATTGATAATCTTCCTCTATCAGGTCCCGTAGTATTCGACCGTATAGTCGACTCATTGAACTTGTGACCGATATCCCTCTATAGTTTTTACAATTTCTCCTGTCACCTTTTTTATATATTGGGGTCATATATGCTGTTTTCCATTCATCTGGTGTTGGATGTCCATTAATATATTCGTTAAATATCACCGTGATCATTCTGTGTAATTTCTCTGAGCCATTCTTTATTAATTCCGTAGTTACTCCCTCTGGTCCACTTGCTTTCCCATTCTTCATCCCTGCTATAGCTTTTTGAACTATGTTGATATCTATGGTAATATGCTCTCCCAGAATTTCGATTCTTGATGAATTCATATCTTCTTTAAATTCGTCTCTGTTCTCATTTAATAGATGTTTGTAATAATGTGTCCAATCCTCGGGATTTATGGGATTTAGAATCACTTTCTCGTTAGTCGGCTTCTTAACAGAGTTTATAAACTTCCACGCCTCAGTGCATTGTCGTCCTCCAATATAAGATTCTATCTCTCTGCACCTTCTGTCCCATGTCTCATTTTTGGAGGTCATAATTATCTTTCTAGTTTTCTTCTTCATTTCATTGTATCGGTCTTTGTCTGCGTCATCTTTTGTATTCAACCACTTATGGTATAATCTTTTCTTTTCTGTTACCGCATTTTCGACGTCTTCATTCCACCAAAGCTTGTTACTAATTTTATTTTGTTTGATTCCTAAGACCTCCTGTGCTGTTTGATGAATACTTGATATTATGTTCTCATATATGCATTTGGTATTTGTTAGTGTTTCGTCAAGTTTGGAGTCCATTCGAGTCTTATATAGTGTACGGGTGCTCTCATGAATTAAACTGGACAGATTGTATTGAAGGAAGATCAATTCTTTCTAAAAGTTGTTCGTCTTGGCTTGATGAGACACTGTCCTTTAATCTATATGGGTAAAACAATTTTTGACCTGACCATGTGGTTGATCTGATCCGCATACTGCTCCTCTCATAGCCTAATATCTCTAATGATATTGTAGCAAGCTTTACTAAAGATTAAATTGAACATATCTTTACAGTATACATGCCGACAGAAGGAGCATTTTGGTTCAAAATACTTAAGTTCAATATATATCTAATACATCATGAAAACTCTTGCTCATGTTTCATTTTTTAGCAACTATTTTACCTTTTTAAAGCAGTTATGTCAAAAGTAAAACTAAATTAATTTACTTACCTAGTTGGAGTCCATTTACCACTGTTTGGGTAGTAGAATATCAACAAAATTGATGAAACTAGTAATAATATTGGAGATGTAGGACTTGTAAGTAAATAATTATCCAATGAGTCTACCAAAGGAACAATTGGAAACATTATTACTACAGCTAATGCTAAGCCAACTATGACATCCTGGAATTATAAAATAAACACTACTTTAGATATGTTAACTTGTCTTATTTGAGACAATTACACAAATGAGCTGTTGGAGTGAATATGATTGATTCTACCATGGTGTATCAGGTTTATTATTGCAGTTTTTAATGGTTTACTCGTCACATAAACCTGATTAACAACCTGTAACAAATGATCAAGACAGCTAATTTATTTATGAACTTCTTCCAAACTGTGTATTCACCAAATAAAAACAACTTTTACATACCTATCTATCCATTAAATAGCATCTTTAGTACAAATATTTGTCCTTCAAGATTACCATGACTGATATTTTTAATGGCATAAATGAGCTGCCCAATAAGCTTACTGCTGGCCCAGATAGAGTGCCTAATTTTTTATTAAAAGACTGTGTCTGTACCCTTTACCATTTGTTATATTGTTTAATAGATCTTTGGAAACCTCTATGTTTCCTTCTTCATAGAAAGAAAGTTATGTTGTTCCTATATTTAAAAATGGTCAGAAAGACAACATTGAAAATTATCGTAGCATTTGTATACAATCTGCAATCACTGGTGAAGCTCTTCAACTGTCTTATAGCAACACAACTTTCTTGATTATGTAAAAACTTATGATCACAATCGCAACATGGTTTTCACAGCAAAAAATCGACTACAACAAACTTGGTTTGCTATCAATCTGATATATTATCTCATATGGAAGACCATAAACAGGTAGATGCAATATACACAGATTTTTCCAAAACATTTGATTGTGTAGATCACCAAATACTTTTGGGCAAATTAATTAATGTAGGCTCTCATGTTAGATTTGTTGAATTGATTAAAAACTCTACATCTGGAGAAGTCAAAGAGTCCAGATAGGTTGTCATCTATCTGACAGTATCTCAGTAACATCTGGAGTTCCTCAAGGAGGCCACACTTCTCCACTTCTTTTTAATATCTTTGTTAACAATATCACTTTTTGTTTCCTAAATAGCAAATGTCTAATGTTGGCAGATGACTTGAAATTTTCGAAAGTTCTAGATAACTTAAAAGATCAAGCCTTGTTACAAGATGACTTAGACCAACTACAAAATTAGTGCAATCAGAACAAACTCCACTTAAATGTAAAACAAAGTTGTTTTGTGAGTTTTGTCTAGTAAAGTCAATCTGCAGCAATCTTGCAATCTGCAAGTCAAGTACTGCAGGCCCATTGACAAAGGAGTTATAAGAAGTTTATAGCATGCTTTCAGAAAGAATTGAAATACAAAATCATCGAAAAGGGAGAGAATAACGACGATACGAAAGTCAGTATTCTTGACGATATTTTTCCGGCCTAACTAACAACTACCATCAGGAATCGCATACACGATATTGCACAAACGCATTTGCAGGATGCTGATTCCCTTCTCAGTTCTGACTGCTCTGCAGATGACTATGTACGAGTGAATGACAAAATAAGTACGAGTGAATAACTGTCAGATATCGACATTATACAGAGTCACCAAACTAGTGATAAACAAAGTGCTGAAGGGGCTGATGAAGAATTGGAAGATTTCGTCATAATCCCTACTAGTTGCTGAAGTGTATGCTGCTTGTTCCACCATAAGAGAATTTATTCAGACTGCTGAAACTTCCAGAGTGTGAAAGAATCATTACCGATTGTTTTCAGATCAATTGAAAAAATCATTTTTTTTCAGAAGTTCAAGGAAGGAGACAAACAAAAATTACAGACTTTTTTCATTAGATATTCAGGTAAAATGTTGTATTTACATATTTTGTAATACATAAATGTATTTTCCTTGTCTTTTTAAAAATAAATAGTATATGTATGCCTACATTTTTATAATGCAAAGATTTTGAGAAGCTGTTATATTATAATTACACTTTATTGACTACTTATTCTTATTTCAATATATATTATGCATACATGTATGTACATATTTAGATTTACGGAAGTACAATAAACACATATGTTAAATGTTATGTAGAATATTTTATTATAACATTATAAGTATAATAAAGTAACACATTTTTGCGTCATAAACCTAGGTACAACAAACTAACTGTTCCTACCAGTGTAATATTGTTTATAGCAACCTGTTCATTATAACCGATAGTACAGCTTACAGAGAACACTGGCTACAACATACAAAAACCACCAGTGAAGTTCGTTATAAACGATTTTGACTGTGTGTAAGATTTTTAGTGTAATTTTTTAATATTGATTCTATATTAAGTATTTAATTTTCAAGTTTTGAATTGTAACTGTGATTGTAATTTAAACTGTTAATGGGGTTATTCCATGCATTAAATAAATAAAATAAAAATAAACAAAAAAATATTTTTTTCTTACCAAAACTGTGTGCATTCCTAAATAGAGTCTGCTGATGCTTATCAGAGTACACCAGAGAACGGCAATGCACAACCCCAAAGGAACATCGTACTGGTATCTCCCCATTGTATATAACAAAACAGAAAATGGTATGGACACTCCAACCATGGCATGTGTAGATGGCATGCCATACTCCAAAGCCCACTTATTTTGAAGCCTAACTACTGGAGGGCCTGGTCTGGGCCACTGAATTATATCTTTGATACCTTGACCTTAAAACAAAAAAAAAACTATTTGTAGAAATCTGCAAAACTTTTGTTTTTTAATTTGTCCATGCAATATTTGACTATGCTCCATTTAGTCAATAGTTGGATGTTTATTTATTCTCCTTTTTCTCTATCTTACCTATATCCCAAGCTGATTAATACATATCAGATAAAACTTTTAAATTACCTATTTATATCTTGATACTTTAAGAACCACATTCTCAAGTTATTTTGCATACTGTTAGGTTTTCTGCATAAAACATTTTTAAATCAGATAAACACAAAAATTAAATCTGTGCATTGTAAGTTGATAAAGAAGTAAGACAGAGTCCTTAAATGCAATTTTCAGATTGGTGAGAGCTATGTTAACATTTAAAATAATACATATTTAGATTGAAAGCCATAACTGTTTTGTGTCGACGTTAAAAAATCACTTATAAATCATACATTTACTTACCTATGTACATGACAATTGTCCAAACTAAGACAACCCTTCTTCCAACTGCCCCATCAATGTTCCAAAACCAAAACGGTATAAAGGCAGAATAGAAGGTTTCGTCACCTAGAGCTGTACCAAAAACAAACAAATAATACCAAAACTTATTTTCTATAGTATACTCTTTATCTTTTTGGATATGTTTTGTATTTACACCGAAATATTTTTGAACTTTAGCCACTAATTCAGGTTTCTTGAGGTACTCCATTTTCACTGGTTAAATGTATTGCAGATAAAGCTATTGTACTTTGATTTATATCACTGTTTCTTTTTTAATTTAACAAAACATGTAAACTGTATTATGTGCACTGCAGAGCCGCATTGCAGTTCTATAAAAGAACTTTGACAGCTGATTTTTTTGGGGTTAAAAATGATAATCAGTTGTATGAAGTGTGTCAGTGTAGATGACACCATTGAGTTAGGATGACACTATACCGAACAACCGAAATCAGCCGAAGGTTCATACACGTTCATATACGTTTATAAAAGTCGTAATTAAACTATGGTAAATTTTAAATACTTAAAAAAGTTCAAATTGTTTTTGTGTATTTTTTAATTAAAATTAATTCAGAACTATTGTTCCTATGGTCATTTGACGAATAATGGAAATAAAATTAAATATTCTCGTCTGCAATAGTCTGTGATTGGCGTTAATTTTAAAATGTAAAGATGTATTACAGACAAATTGTTCATAGAATAAATTCAATGAAGTTTAGTTTAGATAATCATTTAACGAGTAGCTGCATTGACGTAGTATAATATGTTATCTTTATCTGTTTTAAGAAATTATTTGTTTAGTTTCTAAATTTATAATTGTATTCTTATTTGTAGAAATTATTATAAAATATATATATACGTACACGAATTGTTAATTATTTTTGCATCTAACTGCGATGGAAAAATACAAATTCGACAAACTAAATCTCAAGAATACAAGAACATATTAGTCCAGTCAACCGAGACAAAAATTTCAATTTTGGGATCCCAAAAAAAATTCGTCATGACAAAATTAGCAGTGGCGGAACGCACTTTCCTTAATTTTTTTTACAAGTAAAATATTACTCTCCATTTTTTTAATACAAGTTACGTCTGCATATTTTAAAATCTATATATGCATTTGCTTATGCTTATGATGTGATGAAACGGGTATTAGCGTGGTTCCCAAGCAATTTTCGAAAATAATAGCTGTTAGAGGACAATATCAAGTAGGTGTCTTAAGCTCTGCTGAAAGATGTACCACTGTCACAGCCGAAATCTGCAGCTCAGCTTCCGGATGTTACATGCCCCCAACAGGTCTCTCACCAGGAGACTGAGCTGAAGTTAGCGACTCTGGTTGAATAACTGCAGATATTTTCGTAAAATAGCTACAACAGTTCATTCTATTTCCTAAACTAAAGCGACGAAAGAACACCTAGTTCTCTTCCTTCTTAACGGGCATACGTTACATACAAAGAACTTGGCCGCAATAGATCTAGCACGTGACAATGGTGTGTTAATATTGTGCTTCCCTCCTCATTTCACTCACAAAATTCAACCATTGGAAGTTGCATTCATGAAGCCCTTGAGCTTGTATTATGAGAATGAAATAAGCAAGTGGTTTAGGTCGCATCCAGGGAGAGTGGTTCAGCTTTTCGACATATTAACACTTTTTGGCCAGTCTTTCTTAAGTGTAGCAAATATAAGAACTGCCATTAATGGCTTTGAAAAATCTAGTATCTGGCAGACCAGTATGAATAAATTCACCAATGATGACTTTCTACCATCAGCAACAACAGATATTCCCTTGGAAAATCCTGTTGGCAGTACAATACAGGAAATATCGCCGGCTATGTCAGAGAAAACTGACTCAACGCCAACTACACCAGTACAGAAGCATTTCTCCTCATTCCATGTTCAGCCCACACCCGTAGTTGATAATCCTGTCAAAAATAATCCATCTGTACTGACAATTGACGAAAATCTTCCCTCACCAGTGAATGTCCCTAAGCCCGGATGTTCTTGGATGCCCGATTCCCCTGTTCGTACTAATGCCGACATACATTTTTCAGTCACGTCGTCAAGAGACCTAATTCCGTTGCCAACAGTTAAGGGACATCTCATGCGAAACTTTCAAAAAATCAAAAAATTTTTTTTACATAAATCGCTTTCATTTACATTCAAAAACTCCCTCCCAAAAATTTTAAAAAACGAAATTCCCACTAAATATAAGTTATAGTTTATTTTATTAACGTCAGATACGCACGTATGAAAACCGGTTTCTCTCCGCGCGGCGAGCGCGAGGCTCCAGCTGTTCTTGCTTTTGTATATATGTTGTATATACGTTGGGTATGTATAAGTGATTTATTTCATTAGGTATTATTTAAGTTATAAAATTTATACTTAAATACATTTATTATTCCAAATATTGTTTATAATTTCAAATTAAAAAGAGTGTAATATAATTATTTTATTTTTAAAATTCCTTTTTATTTTTAATTTTAGAAAATCAACTTTTTTTTCACGCCGTTTTGGCAATAAAACATAACCATTTTTTTAGTTATAAAATATTTTCATATCTACATTTATAAATAAGTAGATACGTTTTCGTTAAAATTGACATGCGATCTAGGTATGTTCCGTTTTTTACACTTACACTGTCAGCATCGCGGCGTGAATTGAGACTCCAGTCGAACTAATGAATTAATTATAAAACATCAAATCAAAAAGAAAAAAGGTTTACAAAGCCATTTACAAACAACTGTTGGATGAAGAGGACCTCAATATTCACCAGGAATGGCCGATTAAACGTGAGTATAAAGTTAATCAGCCTTTACTTCACACGAAAATTATGTAAAAAAAAACTTTAAATGCTTTTTTCTCAAAAGTAACATTTTCAAACTGGTCAAGACACTTTTCTCCGAACCTTTTCCAACCGATTTTAAAAAACCAAAAATTTTTCGAATGTATATACAAAAGACTAGATGATAAACCTTTAAAAATGTTTAAAAACCACCCCCCCCTTTTATTATATATGGGTAAAATCCACCCAAAAACATAGCGATTTTTCGACTTTTTTGAAAAAACTCGTATAAACTCTTCAAAATAATACAATTTGTATATTTTAAAGGTTTATCATCTAGTTTTGAGTCTCACGAATACAACCCATTTTGAATTTTTTTGAATATCTGTTACAGGTGACCCACAAAGTGTCTTACCACCAAAAACGCACTATTTACTACACGCTATCTACAGGACACCAATGAAGTTAAAATCGCTATTAAAATTTTTTTTTATGTACTTCAAGACTTACTTAATCATCTCCAAAAGGAATTATGTTAAATAACTATTATAGTTTTTTTTCTGCTTTAATTTCAAAAGTGTCTCTTTTTTTTTAATCGCATGAGACTGTCCCCTTAAAGCCGGTACAAACAGAGCTGTAAAAAAGCGTGGAAAGACTGCTGTCCTTACCGCCTCACCTTATAAGGTTGAACTGGAAGAATCTTTAAAAAAGATGCAAGCTATAAAGGAATCTAAAGAGAAAAAAATTAAACAGAGATTAATGTTTAAAAATGATGAAAACAAACCCAGAGAAATTGAAACTTAACGAAAAAGGAAAGAAAATAAGAACAAACAGGTTAAAACTAAGGCAAAGAAACAAAAATATCTGAAACTGAATCCGAAGATAGCGCAGAAGAAGAAGATACGGCCTACTTGTATTGCCATGATTACTACTCTAAGTCCAATGAAGGCTGGTGTTCTTGTAGCATTTGTAAGAAATGGGCACATCTAGCATGTGCTGGTTTAGATAGTGACGATGATGAAAGCGTTCTAGTCTGTGAACTTTGCTTATGATATTTAGCTATAGTATGGGGCACCCCATTGTGACTCGGGGGGTGGGGCAGAATGGGAAATTTCCCTTTATTTTTGTAATGCACATTTTTCTCAGAAACGTTTGTTTTTTATAACTTTAGCTATATTTTCCTTGTACAGAAATAAATAAATAAACATAAGATTTGTCAAATAATGGTGTAGTTTCATTAAATATCGCACAAATTACTATCAAACTTAGGTACCCCGTTTTACCCTAGTTCCAATATATAAAAGATTTACTTTCAAAACGATTGATATGTAGGTATTAATTATATTTGCTCTGAAAATAATCTTGCAGACCTTTTGACAAAACCTTTATAAAAAATTTTGCCATTTTTTTCTAAGGTCTTTGTCAAGCGTTTCTTAACTGATGTAAAATTATTATTACAATATTTTTGATTGTGTAGATTTAAGCGATTTTTCCTCCTATGTGATGTAATTGAAGTTCAAATCGAAAAGGAGTGTTTAAGTATAGGTAATGGTCTGTTTTTAAACCAGAAGGAGTAATTCAAATTTTCCGCGCCATAATGCTTGTTTGTAATTGGTTCGAAGCGCAGGCAAGTTCTACTTCCACTAAATTATGACATATTGACACTAATGACATTTGTGAAATTTTAAAATTCAAAATTTATTTATTTTTTTTTTTTTTTTTTAAAGATAAAAATACGATTAATGACGTTTCAATTTCCAATTCGGAAATCGTTCTCAAAATACAAAAATTTATATTGACAATTTTTTGTATTTTTCTGTGTTATTTCTTACATCTTTAGATTTTTCGTTTGCATTATATAAAAAACAGTTTCTTATCAGAACTACTTAGCGACATATTAGTGTTATTAAGATAACAATATGGATTCAATGCAAGTACTAGTGGTAATTATTCTTCTCCACCTTAAAAACGGCCGAGTAGATTTGGGATCATTTATCATCAAATGAGAAATAATGTACTATAAACATGTACAAACAATGACAATTGACAATTCTGGAATAAAAATAACAGCCACGGTAGTAAAAATAAAACAGGCAGCAGCAGGTTAGTTTTTACAGAATAGTTATTATTAAAATCAAGACTTACTTAAGTAATGTGCTAATTTTAGGTGTTGTGAATTTAACTATTTACAACAATATAATTTAGAACAATTAAAGAATACACACAGACTGCAGCAGTAAAATGTCCCCTAAAAATATTGAAGGTCGACCTTATATTCTTGCAACATACGATGAAAAAGTTTAAACATCTATACGACAGATAGTACAAAGCTTCTTTTTCAAGAATGAAATGCTCACTTTAGGTAAAATTGTAAGTGAAATTAACAACCGCTCATATCTTCCAAAATATGTGTCGTTCATTATATAAATTCTTGAAGCAAATCAATTTGAAGTAAGTACAAATATCGGTATGTAAATATGGGTAAGAAAAGAAAAAAAGAAAAGGATATTTTTACTCTACATAATTATGCA